ATATGTTTCATACAAGGTATTTCAAGGAAAATAGAAACCCGCTGAAGTAACATGACCTGAGCCTATTCAATTGCAAACAACTATATCAACTGAACAGATCAGAGCAAAGCTAATGTGCTAAACTTGAGTCTGCAAGTTCTCCATGAATAATTACACAAGTGACAGAGAAGTCTATAAGAGACGAAAAAACATATAAATTCCAGAACACAGAAAACAAATCATTTGCTTTGTAGATTCCGTCCTCAGCTAACTTATCAGGATCTGATTTTTATCCCTGGGGATGACATGGATCTCTCAACCAGTTAAGCTCATTCCAACATGTTTAATCTGCTTAATCATACTTTTAAACATCATAGGGGCTGCAATAGGATCATTCACCCACCTGACTAAGATTCATCTAATTATATAGATCACAAAATTACCCTTTCAAACCCAGGAAGCATGGACTTATCTTGTTCCGTCTCTTTATTTTGCTTAAAAATACCCATCTCCATCACCCATGTCTAACACAGTTCCAGACAAGGATACAAGAGTATGACCCTCCAAGCACATAAGTATATCCGTATCCACAGTCACACTTGAGCTAAGTAACATAATCATGAACATCCGCAAAACAGTAGCTACATTTATGTCAAAAATATATTTTCCGTTTTTCCATTAAATAAAATAGTAGGCTGAGCCAGCATGATGAAAATCAACAGCCAAAAACAATAAATTTTAACCAGCTAACTTCACAAGGTCATAATGCAAAGTAAGCGGCAAAGAGATTAAGTGAGATTTTTTCCCTTTTATATCAGGAATAGGAAAAGACTCGCATTGAGTAAGGTCAACAAAGCACTCTGACTTCAGTAGGAAGATGCACAAAGAAAATGCAAGATAAAAGACATGCATGACTCATAAACTAAAAACCAAACGAAAGCTGACTAACAAAACAAAAATGGCTCAAATCCCTTGCACTTCTCTTTGTGTTTCAAATCAATTTTCTCATCAAAGATCACATGGGGAAAAAAGGGTTAAACAAGGAGCAGAAGGAAAAGGGTAAAATTCCAATACCTCCAAATTCTTCTTCCTCTTAGTCTACCTCAATGAAATAACCTGGAAAAACAAAGAGACCCGGAAAATGGGTTCTTAAGAGAAGTTAAACATTTCCGGTAACAACCCAAAAAAACTCAAATAAAAACTCAACTCAAAAATCGTAAAAGAAAAGCATACAAATTTCAACAACTTAGGGAAAAGAATACCCAGAAATTTAAGAAAAATACCATCTTTTTCTCTCCATTCTCTACATGACTTTCCAAGTACCCAAACATAAAAAAACCGTAAATTTATGTCCACAAGACTTTCAAACAAATTACCTGAAATGCCTTCGCCCCCTTCTGAATTCCCTGAGACCAAGATTTCGAAACACTTAAAACCCTAAAACCCCATAAAAGAAAAAGAGCGGAAACCAAATGGGTTCTCAATGTACGAGCCAGAAACGACTGATCAAACCACAATGTGCAATGGGTGGGGAAAAGGGGAAGAACAAAATGCACCCAAACCAATGATTTCCTTTCAAATAAAAATCCCTTCCATGATTTCTTACAATCTTCCCACCCAAAAGAAAAGAGCAGAAGAAGTGAAAATAAACAGAAGATCTGAAGGGTCAAATGACAGAGAAGATCATGCAGAGACTTGGACTGCTCGGGTGTATTGTTTATATATGTGTATAATTCCTAAATTAATATACCTTCCGAAAACTCTTAATATGAAAGCCCATTTAAATTCATAGCCTCCGAAAACTCTTAATATGAAAGCCCATTTAAATTCATAGCCTTCATAAGGTAGCAACAAAGCTGGTACTGGATATTTAATTGGGTAAATCGTATTCATGGCCATTAAATTGTGTTTAGATGATCATTTTGATCACTATACTTTCCAAAAAGATGTAAAATGATAACACATTTTTTCAAATTTATCCAATCAAATTTTGGGTAAACTATGCATTTAGTACCTAAACTATCGGTTTTGATCCATTTTAGTAACTAAACTTTTATTTTTTTCAAAATCATACCAAAAGTTTAGTTTTCATTTCATTTTAGTACTTCGCTGCTAAATTTTAGTACCTAAACTTTAATTTTTTTTCTTTAAAAATTAACGTTAAATTGTGAACGGAGCACTTATAATATGAAACAAAAACTAAAGTTCATGTATGATTTTTAAAAATAAAAATTAAAAGTTTAGGTACTAAAATGGATCAAAATTAATAATTTAGGTACTAAATGCATAATTTACCCTTAAAATTTTTACCAAATAACAAATAAGTTACTCACATAGCTTCTCTTTGGGTTGCTTGGGTCTTATGTATGTCTTCAAAGAGTGTTGATTTCTAGCAAGCAGGTTGTAAACTGCATTTTAGTTGGAGTTTGAGAAAAATTATAAAGATGAGAAGTGAAGCTCAGCCTTTGTTTGTTGTCACTAATATATGATATTTAAAATACACTAGATGTCACTAAATTGTACTCAAATTACTGTTTTGACCACAAAATTTTAAAAGTTATAATAATAACTTTGAATTTTTCAAACTTTTATAAAATGGTCATTAAATTTGCCCTACTCTTACAAGTTTTTCATAAGGGTTCGAGGAAACTGATAATCGTTTTATAACCTTTAAAAATTTAATGATTAAAGATAATCATTTGAGTATAATTTAATAATATATAATGTATTTTATTTAATATTAAAAGAATGTGGGAGGAAAATATGGTCCAAAATTAAATATTTGACGTCGATTGGACCTTAATTTAGTTTGAAGGTAAATAAGTGTCGCAACCGTCTTTCGGTTGTGCCCCGGAATTGGGCTTCGACTTGAAAAATGTGGATTGGAGTCGCCACCGATCATTTATTTTAAACAAATGGGTTGATCGGATACCCTATTTCTTACCTGATCTGCGTCTTTCCAAAGATGTGTCGGGTTCAAGAGTCGGTTACGGTCAAGAAAAGATTAGCACCCTTGAACCGTCCTTTCGATACTACGTAATTTCCAGTTGTCTTTGATTAAGAAAATTGCAAGTTAAATTAAAAAGGTAAAATTTGATCCGAATTACTTACCCTTAATGAGTTTACAGAAATACCCTTAAAAAATAAGATTTTAAAAGAAAATAATAATAATAAAAGAAAGTAACAACTAAAGAGTAAACCAAGGAAATAAATGAAATAAATAATAATAAACATAAAATAATTGGATGGAAAAAAATGAAATTGAATAAAATAAAATAAATGAAGATAAAATTATATATACAAAAAGAATAAAAAAGGTAAAGTGCTTTTTTTTAAAAAGAAAAATAATAATAAGAGCAAAGAAACTAAAAATATAATGAAAATAAATAAATAGTACAAATAAAATAATAAATATATATATATATATAAATATAAAAAAATGTATGTATAATATAATAAAATACTAAATAGTAATAATAATAATAAATAAATGAAAAATAAATATACATATAATATTAACTAAAAAATAGTAATCATAGAAATATAAAATAAAATAAAGTAAGAATATATATATATAACGTTAGGAAAATATAGTAAAAAACATAATAAATAAGTAAACATAGATAAAAAATAATAATATAATATATATATATAATAATAGGATAATAATATAATATAACGCAAAGAAAAATGAAAAAAATTATAATAAATAAATAAATAAATAAAATATAATTAAATATATATACATATAAATAATAAGGGTTAAATTAAAATAAAAAATGAATTAGAAGTCAAAATTAAAAGCCAATCGAAGAAAAAAAACGACAAAACAAGCGGATCCACACGACCCGTTTATAAAAATCCGAATAATTTTTCAAAAACACAAGCCTCGGGGACTAGATCTACAAAAATAGATCTCGAAAACGCCCCCGTTCATCGGCCAAAAACACTTCTCTCAGTTTTGTTTCGATATCAAAACACAACAAGGGTAAGGAAAAAATAACATGCGAAGGTATGAACTTTACCTTTCAAAATATAAATGCTTCGAAAAATGGCTACGAGTTGCTTGTAATTTTTTGCTTAGTATTTCGTATATCCTCCTCTGAATGTGTTACAATAGTGAGTTACAATGACTATTTATAATGCTTGTGGATCCTATCTTTAGGAGTTTAAATAATAGTAGAACTCTATCCTATTTTTAGGAGTTTGAATCCTAGCAAAATTCTATCATATTTTTAGGAGTTTGAATCCTAGTAGGACGAAAATGTGGGTTGACAATAAGTTTGTCACAATCTTCCATATGGGGGATCCAAACCAAATTATCGGTTTGATGGGTCACATACTTCTTTTAAAAAACAACGTTTCTTTTAACATTGAACACTCAATCATTCAATAAGTTGTCATCCTTAAATATTGGAATTTGAAGAATAAGAATGTAGGAATATATTTAAAAAGAATTAGACCATGGTAAGTTGGTACCCTTAACATAGCTACTATATTATCACCAAACATAAGTAAAATTACATTTAAAAAATAATATATTACTTTTATAAAAATATTACTTTTATTCTATCAAATCTAGGAATTCAATAAAAATAATAATATATATAAGAGTTTTGTTGCTATTATCTTTAAATATATGAGGTAAAATTATATTTTTTTGATTTGATCAAGTAAGATACTTTTACCCTAAACCTGAATTCAATTCGATCCGAACATTATCTCTAAAAACCCAACCCAACAACTTCGAATTTTTTAGAAAAAAATCAACCTAATCAAAATCTGTCGGTTTCAACTCCTATATCCATCATCCTTAGTTAGTACCATGAACATATATACTATATTATCACCATTCACCAAACATGAGTAGCATAACATATATATAAATGTAGGTGGGCAGCACGTTATCATAATTGCAACATATTCAACCCCTTTGACATTCCCTAAAAAGTGTATATATATATATATATTCTATATCATAGTTTAAAATACAAAAAAAAAAAAAAAAATTAATCTCAGTCATGTCAACTTTCCGACCTTATGGCAAAGTCAATGAATTCGATCAAGCAATGCTCGAAGCTGACCGTAAGAAAACCAGGAAAAGAATCGCCATTATTTGCGTTTCTTTCGTAGTTCTCGCCGCCGTCGTAGTCGGAGCAGTTCTCGAAACCACTCGGAACTCTAAAGGAGACACTACTACCGCCAAAAATGGCGGAAACAGCTCATCTAGTCCCATCTCCACCTCCATCAAAGCCGTCTGCGACGTCACTTTGTATAAAGATTCATGTTACAACAGCCTTTCTCCGATGGCGAACTCCAGTACCGAGCTTAAACCCCAAGATATCTTTAGGTTATCGATGGAAGTTGCGGTTTCCGAGATATCGAAAGCGTCTCGATATTTCTCCGCCGACAATGTAGCTTTTAAAGGCGATAACATGACGGTTTCGGTCGTTGAGAATTGTCGTGAGCTTTTAAGTTTAGCCATCGATCATCTCAACGAGTCGTTATCATTATCGTCGACGACTACTTCTATCGAAACGGCCGTCGACGATCTCCGAACATGGTTGGGTTCCTCCGGGACATACCAACAAACATGCATCGACGGGTTCAAAGAGATCGACGACGACTCCGTCGATAACCGTCTAAAACTCTCTTTCGAACTTACAAGCAACAGTCTAGCCATCATCACATGGATTTCGAAGGTCACGTCAGCGTTTAACCTAAACCGTCGAAGGTTGATGGAGTTCGAGCATCGAAGGCGGTTGCACGGCGAAAGGGTGTTGGCCGAGAGCTCGGATAAGTTGAAGAAGAAAGCAGATATAATCGTGGCGAAAGACGGGTCGGGTCAGTACAAAACTATATCGGAAGCCATGAAAGCGGTGCCGGAGAAGAGCAAGAAGAAGAGGACAGTGATCTATGTGAAGAAGGGAGTTTATAAAGAGAACGTTAGGGTTGAGAAGAACAAATGGAATGTTACTATGATTGGTGATGGGATGAAATCAACCATTGTTACTTGGAACCTTAATGTTGTTGATGGGACTCCCACATTCTCAACTGCAACATTTGGTAAGTATTCGCGAGTTTAATCGATAATTACATCACATGTCCTCAACTTACGAGTCTTATTTTAAACTAGTCCTTAAACTTTTAAATATTCTAATTTCATCCTTAAATTATGACCATTATTTTGAAGGTAAATTATACGTTTAGTACCTAAACTACTAGTTTTGGTTCATTTTAGTACTTAAACTTTTATTTTTTTTTTCAAAACTATACCTAAAGTTTATTTTTTGATGCATTTTAGTACCCATTAAAAACTTCACGTCAAGTTTTGAAACAAAATGAAAGTTCAGCTACAAAAACAAAATAAAACTGATAGTTTAGGTACTAAACACGTTAAGTTTTTAATGGTGGGTGTACTAAAATGAAACAAAAATTAAACGTTAGGTATGTTTTGAAAAATTAAAAGTTTAAGTACTAAAATGGAACAAACTTTTAGTTTAGGTACTAAACTCATAGTTTACCCTATTCAAAATTAGTCCTCAAACTTTTGAACATTTCAATTTCATCCCCAAACTATGACCTTCATTCTAAACGGCCCCCAAACTTTTTTGAATATTCCAATTTCATTCCAAACTATATGGATACTCTAATCACACGCTTTGTTAATAAAATTGTTAGGTCAAGTCATATTATTATATGTTTGGGAAAAAATTAGGTTAAATTATGGTCGAAACTAATTATATATTTGGATGAATTTGGGGATGAAATTAGAATAATTGAAAGCTTGGATACTAATTTAGAAAGATGGTCATAGTTTATGGATGAGATGAGAATGATCCAAAGTTAAAGAATTAATTTAGAATAAAAGTCATAATTTAGGGATGAAATTAGAATGAGTAAAAGTATAATGACCAATTTAAAATGAGAGTTTATAATTATAAAATATCTTCTGTGTTTATATATTATCAATTAGGTTTTAATGAACATATGTAAGAAATTAGAATATGTTTATATAATGTAAAATTTTAGTTTCACGTCTTTTAAGATCATTGGATTAATGAAAGTAAATAATAATATAATATAATAATATAAAATTAAAAAAATAATAAGATAATCTCATCCGCTTATTTAACTCATAAGTGATCTTTAAAATGTGTAAAATTAAAAGTTTTACTTTAGGTGTAATTAACCTTTAATTATAAAATTTAAAATTTTATTTAATTATTTTTATATATAATAAAAGATTATATAAAAAAGTTCAAAATGTACTATTAAATTAGGCCGAATTAGAGTTAAATTCAATTAATTTTTTAACAAATAAATTTAAGGGTAAATTATACATTTAGTACATAAACTATTAGTTTTGGTCTATTTTAATATCTAAACTTTCCATTTTTTAAAACATACATAAAGTTTATTTTTTGCTTCATTTTAGAATATTGCGGTTAAAAACTTTAGTTTTTATTTCGTTTTAGTATCTCGTTCAAAATCGAACGTTAAGTTTTGAAAAAATTAAAAGTTTAGGTACTAAAACAAATAAAAACTGATAGTTTAAGTATTAAACACGTTAAATTTTTAATGGTTTGATACTAAAATGAAATGAAAACTAAACGTTAGGCATGGTTTTGAAAAATTAAAAGTTTAGGTACTAAAAAAATTAAAACTAATAGTTTATGTACTAAATGCATAGTTTATCCTAAATTTAATTATTTTTTTGGATTAATCTAGGATGAAGTATCTGTAAAGACTCTAAATGGTTCTTCCTTGCAGCTGTATTCGGGAAAGGCTTCGTCGGTAGAGACATGTCGTTCGTCAACACCGCCGGACCGGAAAAACATCAAGCCGTCGCCTTAATGTCGACGGCAGATCAATCCATCTTCTACCGATGCCGATTCGACGGTTTCCAAGACACCCTGTACTCGCACTCCAACCGCCAATTCTACCGCGAATGCGACATCATCGGGACCGTCGATTTCATCTTCGGGAACTCCGCCGTCGTCTTCCAGAACTGTAACATCCTCCCCCGACAACCGATGGCCAACCAACAGAACACGATCACCGCGCAAGGCAAAGTCGATCCGAACCAGAACACGGGGATCTCGATCCAGGACTGCACCGTCTCACCGTACGGAAACTTGAGTTCTTCGTTGAGAACTTACCTCGGCCGGCCGTGGAAGGATTACTCGACCACCTTGTTCATGCATTCGACCATCGGTAGCCTCGTGCATCCGGCAGGCTGGCTGCCGTGGACGGGGAACAGTGCTCCGAACACCATATTTTACGCCGAATATAAGAACACCGGCGCCGGTTCTCCGACGAAAAACAGGGTTAAATGGAAGGGTTTGAGGAATATCAGTGAGAAAGAAGCTAAGAGGTTTACTGTTAAAGAGTTCATCAATGGTGATAAGTGGATTTCAGATGCTGGTGTTACCTACAAATCTAGCTTGTGATGGAGATTTTTGTTTGTCCTTTCTTCATAATTCCCCCCCCCTTCGTTTGATGGTAAAATTCTCATTTAGTCCCTCAAGAATTTAAATTACGCAATTAATCCTTTGTTTTGTCCTTGGAGTTGGTGAAATGGAAAATTTTCATTTTTCAATCCTCTAAAAATAATAATATAATTTAATCGTTTTTTATTATAGCTTGTGATGGAGATTTTTGTTTGTCATTTTTGATAATTCTTTCTCTTTGTTTAATGATAAAATTTGTATTTAGTACATCTTGATTTTAAATTATGCAATTAATCCTTTTTTGCTCCTAGGTGAAATGGAGAATTTTCATTTTTGCCCCGAAAATAACCGATATTTTACACGATCCATGCGAAGCTCTACGTCCGGCCTCAAACGTACATACATACGTACTACGGATGGGCACGGGACCAAAATCCGACCCGATCTGTAAAAAAATCAAGTTCAGTCAAGTCGGGTTTTTTTAGATAATAAGTTAGGATCTAGTCTGATTAGGGTTTGTGATGAAAAAATATGATTCAACTCCACCTGAAAAATAATATAAAAATATTATTTTTTTCAATTAAGTATTTATTTATTAAATAAAATTAATAACTTTATATTATTTTTATTTTTGGCCGGGTTATGTGACAGTCGGGTTTTATGTCAAAAGTCAGGTCGAGTTTCGAGTGGAGGTATAAAATTTTCGGGTCAGATTGCGTTGGCTGGAAACCCCAGCCAACCCGACCAATGCATATATTCATTCATACATACATACATATATTCATTTGTTCATACATATATACATACAAAGGTACCTACTTACATTCATACGTATGTACGTACGTTCATACACTTTTACATTCATACACACTCCAATCAGATTTTCCAAGATAGTTTCATTCCGAGCAAAATGCAGAAGTTGTTGGGCCAAAACTTCACCTGCCCACACACTTCAGACAGTTTATATGATAAAATCTCTCTCTCTCTATATATATATAACTTTAAAATCAAATTCATATATCAAAATATATATTTATTATTTGAAAAAAAAAATCTATACATCATAAAACAACCAATAAATAAAAAAAATATCTTCAAATGACAATGCTGTGAGATTTTTTTAGAGAAGTAGATATTAGGCCGATTATATATACATTATGATTTCGTACTATAAATAATATATATAACACAAGAATACAATAATCGGATAAATTTAGATAAACGATTGAGATTAATAGTTTGTATAATAATATTATTTATTCTTTAATTACTATTTAAACAAATAATTTTATTTTAATTTCAACCATTTATTTTTATTTATTTACATTCGTGTATATTTTGTATAAAATTAATAAATTATATATATATATATATACACAGAGAGAGAGGGGAGCTACGTTTTTGTCATGGGGCCATTGCCTCTAAGATTTTGCATGTATGCATGTATGCATGTATGCATGTATGCATGTACATGTATACATGCATACATGCATACATGCATACATGCATACATGCATACATGCATACATGCATACATGCATACATGCATACATGCATACATACATACATACATACATAACACAATAAAATTTAGGGTTGGAAATTTTTGACAAAACATAGTTGAGCAATTTAGTTGTTAGTTTAATTGGAGTGCATTCTCCACCATGAAGAAGCAATCTTGAAGGTACCATGGACCAGTCATTTATCATGCTTGAGCTTCATGGGCAGCCATTATCATTCAACAGTGTTTCAATAGGTTTTTTGGGTGATAGCCAATAGCAAAGCTTGCTATGATTTCCTCCTTGAACTAATATATATATAAGGGTGCTAAAAGTATGACCACATTCCTTAAAAATTTCAAATTCCGATATAGTTTAAGTATTTTCTTTGCATTTTCTGTTAAAAATTTAATTTCGTATTCTTCAAAATTTTATGATTTCACATCTCCTAAATTTATAATATAACTTCTTAAAAATCACACTTTCGACATAAAATCATGCGTATAACTTTATATATATATATATATATATATATATATATATATATATATATATATATATATATCATGAATGTGATAGGCTGTTTATGAATAATTTCTGCATTATTATTGGACATCTATTTTCTCAATGATACCACCTTATCACAATGTTAAATGGTGGGGGCTATTTTGAGATCATTGTCTTTGTCTACCATTCAATTGTGAAAGCATAATTACCCTTGTTGCTTTCAACGTGTCTTTGTGTAGAGGGCACCCAAATACCTAGATATATGCAAAAGTAGGATTGATGGTAATTTAACCCGAAATCGATGAGTTTTGATCCAACTCGATTTGAGAAGGTCAGATTTTTTTAAGGGAGTAAGGTCGGGTCGGTTCGAGTCGGGTTCAGAAGGAGGGTGAAAAAACTCCGACTCGACCCAGGGACAGTAATGTAATTTTTTTTAAAAATATTATTTTTTAATTAAGTAATTATTTGTTATCGGGTTGGATCGGGTGGATGACATATATATTTAGTTCGAATCGAGTCGGGTTCAGGTGGAGGATGCATATTTTCCGGGTCAAGTTCGAATTGACAAAATATCCAACCCAACTCAACCCGTTGCCATCCTTAGATTCAATTACGAGGAAGAAATTAAGATCTAACATTCAGAGAGTTAAATTATTTTAAAAAATTAAAAATTAAATACTTAAATTAAAAAATTAAGGATATCAATATTTAATTTAACAAAATTTAAATTTCCATATGACCAAAAAATCAAATAGCGGTAGATTAACGATAAAATAACTGATATTGCAAGGACGGAGTCAGAATTTAGGTTTAAGAGATCGGATAAAATTATAAAATTTTGGGTAAAGATAAAAATTGTGGAGAAAGTACTTTAAATTGAATAGTTAATTGTACAAGGGATCAAAAATGTAATTTTCCACATAATCAAGGGAAGAAAAACTTTTTAAAATTTATGGAGGGCCTAATATTTTTTTTTTCATTTAACCAAAATAGTATTATCTTCCTACTTTAATATTAAAAGACATAATTTGAGTCGTAATTATATATAATTTTATTCCGACTTAAATATAAGTGGTAAATAGAGCAATTAACATTTCTTTATTGTTTAAATGAAAACTACATGAGAAGCAATAAATATATTATTAATAATAATGAGTAAATAATCATAAATTAATAAAAAAAAATTAAGATACATAAATTTACTAGAAATCCATACGAAGGGAAAAGTATTTCACCATAATCGGTGACAAAATATAAAATAATTTTAAAAATATTTACAGGGATAACTATTATCACTGGCAAATCCAGAAATAGTTTTTAAGATGGAATGGGTACAAATAAAATTTTGAGGGACAACGTCCGTAAAATAAATAACTAATCGAAGAAAACTTAGATTTCAGGGTGGGGACGAAAAATTTCTGGATGAGCATCATTAGTAAAATAAGTAACTAGTCGAAGAAAATTCGGATTTCATAATAGGTACATGTCTACTCTCACCAAGTTGTGGCTCTGTCACTGACAATCATCCATTTAATCATTGAGGTCGATTGGTTCGTATAAATCATATTACAAAACTTTATAATCATACTATGACTTCGTTTTGGATGCTAATCCAGACGAGCTTTTCCAACGTAAAAGCATCTTTTTTTTTTGAGTCAATAATTACTTTTTTAAATATGAATTTTTGAATGAAAATGAAGTACTTAAGATTATTTTTACGTTTTAAACGATTTTTTTTTAATAAAAATACTTCTGTAAATATTCTCAAACGGTACCTAAATAAGATTCGATTTACAATGTGGCCGCCGGCCTAGGATAAGGTTTTCATGACATTATTTGATACTGCCCTCAATGTTATGCAACAAATTTGGAATGTCACATACTTGTCGGAAAGGTTACCTCGTGAATTGCAAGTGAATACGATGTTTCCATACGACATTAAAAAAAATATTTAATATGGGTAAATTACACAGTTAGTTTTTATTTTATTTTAGTACTCGTCTTTAAAATTTTAGTTTTTGTTTCATTTTAGTACACTCGTTCAAAATTTAACGTTATGTTTTGAAAACCCCCTTGAAAGTTTAGGTACTAAACACGTTAAGTTTTTAATGACAGATTAATAAAATGAAACAAAAACTAAACGTTAGTTGTGATTTTGAAAAACTTGAAAGTTTAGGTACTAAAATGGACCAAAATTAATAGCTTAGGTACTAAATGTATAATTTATCTTTTAGTTTAACATAACTAAAAACGAATGAATTTAAGTACAAAAACTATATCCATAGTTTATGAAATTTAACCATATGATATGTGAGAAAAGATTCCATTCGAATCTATTATACATTGACATTGCCGGCTAATTAATAACAATAATAGCCCTTGGTTTTGGTTCAAGGAAACCGAAAATTACTCGACGGGACTCGAATTTTATTTTAATTTTCGAAAAGGGACATTGGTTTTCTCTTATGTCAATGTCATTGAGGTCCCTAACAATTGAGTCCTCGACTCAGTCGAGGTATCATCTGGGGTAGGGTAGCTAAACAGTATATATACACACACATATATATACACACACGTGAAATTTTAAGTTTTGTGGCTGTTATGAGATATAAGCCGAAAGTACATTTCGATTATTTAAACTCGGGTTAAAATATTATTTTATTTTATTTTATCGGAGTTTATGATTCGAATTTTATTTGATCCGATCTGAAAAGTTTATCGTACAATTGATTTGGTGAAAAAGAATTCGAAAGAGAAATAACGATCTGTAGTGAGTAGAGAGACTCTCAAACTACTGTATCTGTACAACTATACGTATATCGAGTTTTGATGTACTATTGTATGATCATCTTGTAGTTTGCCATCAACTATAGTAAAATTATTCTCATTTGTATATGAACTTTTAGTTTTAGAGTTCTTCACTATTCATTGCTATTTTTCACTAGGGTTAGGTTAGGCTTATATTACCCGAATTCGGATTAAAATATCATCCTATTTATAGAGCGTTGTTCTCTTTAAAGATATCGAGTTCAAGTAACGACGTTTGCAAAAATATATCAGCTGTCAATTAATTTAAAAAATTAAGCATATATTATCTTATAACTATTTCAGACTATCAAAAGAGGGTAGTTATGCCGTACGACAACCTAATATATGACTAAAGAAAGACGTTACCGGAAATGTTAATGGTTTTTTAACATTTCCGGTAAAGCGCTACCTCAAACATTATTTTTTTATATCGAAAATATTAATTTCGCTACCAAATTTCCGATAGAAACACCGGTAGAAAAAAAATAACGTTTTAGGTAGCGCCCAATATTAACATTTTTTGTAGAAAAAAATAATGTTTTAGGTAACGTTTTACCGGAAATATTAAAAAACCATTAACATTTCCGATAACGTATTTCTTTAGTCATATATTAGGCTACTGTACGAAAACATCCCATTAAAATAACACACATGCTTTTGAAAATAAAATGTGAAAGTCTAGGTATCATAGGGTTTTTTCGGTGTAGGCTGTAACTTATAAGTAATTGAAGAAACCGACCATTGAAAGGGATCAAACTTTCCATGTCCTTCATCACATTGCAATTTCATGGATCAGACACTCTGTTTCTATATCAAAATTAAGATTCTTATATATATATAATTAATTAATTAATTAATTTTATACTAATTTATAGTCATTAAATTTAAATTAAAAAATGACTTATATTTAGTTAAAATTTAAAACCAATAAATAAATAAATATCTTTTAGTTCACATTAAAGTAATATCTTTCTACCCCAATCATAAATTTTAGATCCTAAATCTCAAACCCTAAAAGAAAAAAATATTTTACTGTAAGTTAAAGAAACATTTATTTATGAATTGTAAATTTTAATTAAATTTAAGTCATTTATTTATTTAAATTTAATTACTATAAATTAATGTAATATATATATATATATATATATATGAGTCGTCCATGTCTAGCCATGTCCTTTGGCCTAGCTATATAGGCTTTTGCAACCATTTACCCTACAAGTTGGTGGTCCTTATTTTCTTTGTAGCCAACGAATTTGCATGCATTGTTTTAGAGGCTAATATTTCAGCCATAAGTTATTGGTGTACATGTGTTTAGATTCGAATTCAAAATTTTAAAAAAATATTTAAAAATTATTAAATCGAATGATCATATACATACAGTTATGATGTGACATTGATCGATTCAGGTTCAAGTAGTGTGCCTATAATTTCGATCGAAATTATGCCGTAACACTTGTCCTAAAATTTGAGATGCAAACTTATATTCGGTCTGACTTAATTTGATTTTTTTTCTTTTTCAAATGCCAATAATCCTTGAATCTATCCGGGATCAAATTTTACCTTATTCGAATATGTTGGAGTTCAAATCGACACCGATGATCCTCGAAACCTAAATTTCAAAATAGAGAATACACATCAAGAAAGAAAAAAATTGACCTAAAAGCATCAATAAATGTATAATGACAACAAATTGACCCTTTTTAGGTTTAGCAACATTCACAATAAGAAGTATGAATCAAGCCAACTCAACAGTCAATGAATAATTATTATCTTCAGAGGTTTTAGGCTAAAGTATGACGTTTACGTAATTGTTTAAGTGTCCATTATCAAATGATTGAGTCTTTCAAACAGACATATACAAAAGTATTTTTGTAATTATATTTAAATTAAATCGGATCAAATAATTTTTATCCTTCACTCGACTCTGATATGAACTTGATTATCCCCTCCCAAAAATTTGATTCAAACTTTATTTTTTTAAAAATAATATAGTCAAAATTTAATAATTAAATTAATTATTTTCAAAGATTAGTTACCAAAATAGGAATATAATCAAATTTGAGTTATGGGATTTATAGTTCATTCATTCCATTCATTATCACCATTACTTTAAATCATCTGATTTCACTTAAAGAATCAAAACACATAATGTTTTATTAAATTTAGGTGATTACAAGTAATATATGTTCTAAAAATTCTAAATCATTTGACCATAAACACTCAAACGCCTCTGTTTGCAGACTCTAATGCTCAAACTCGAGACCTCCAGGGACAACAACCATTCCTTAAACTACTGAGATAGTTTAGTTAGTGCCACATATAAACTTGTATGTTGTGTTAACCGGTCTTAATTATAAACCCTAAACACTAATATATATTAATTTGATTTAAATAAATAAATGAGTTAGATTTAATTAAAATTTTCACCATGTTACATATAATAATAGTAACATGCTCTGTTAACCGATCTTAATTATATACCCTAAACCCTAAAAACTAATATATATAAATTTATAGCAATTAGATTTAAATAAATAAATGAGTTAGATTTAATTAAAATTTGTATCTTATAAATAAATATCTTTTAACTCGAACAAAACAATATATTTTTTTATCATAATCTCAAACCCTAAACTCCAAATTTTAAACCTTAAATTTTAAATCCTAAATCCAAATTTTAACTCTAAAATGTTATTGTTTTACTGTGAGTTAAAAATATTTATGTATAAGTTATAAATTTTAATTAAATATTATTTAAATTGGTTAATATATATATGAAGTCCTATAAAGAAGACTGTAGGGTAGTCAACCCCAATAGGAAGGGAGGGGTCATTGATGATAAAGAAGGAAATAGGTCGGTCCACCTTCTTTACCCCCAAAAACGACAAATCCTCCATTTTAGAAGTGTTTTGTCCATATCCCTCCAGCATTCAACCCCCAACAACTTGGACTTGCATTGTATGCTGTTATTGTTCATACGTACCTGTCGGTGCCGGCCAGGATGATAATTTAATCCAAAATTAATTAGTTTTAATTCGATTTGATATGACATGGTCATATTTCTTTTAAAAGAATAGATTCGGGTTGGTTCGAGTCGAATTTTTTAAGGAACGAGATCGGGTCAGGTCGAATTCAAATAGAGGGTGAAAAAACCTTGACGACCCGATATGAGATAATAATATAATTTCTTTAAATATATTATTTTTAATTAATTCTTTATTTTATACCGAGTAGGATCGGGTCGGGTTGGATTCATACTCTAAAAATTTGGGTTGGATCGAAATCGGATGGAGTATATATACTTTCAGATCGGATCAAATTCAGATGGAATATACATATTTTCGAGTTGGGTTGGATTGACTAAAAATCCAACCTTAACCCGACTCATTTCCAACCCTAATACTACATCGATGTTGATAGGAATTTAAATTACGGTCTTGAACTTATGTCCTAATAAAAATTAGTTGATTCTATTCCCATATATAATGAGGTAAGGGGGAATTAGGGTAGTAGGCTGTCCCCAACACCAGATTAAGAGCAGCTTCCGTAGAAAATCTCCGTTATAAATTGCCCTCAGTAAGACTCGATCTTATAACCACAAGATTAAGAGCCTTGCGCTCTATCAACTGAGCTATGAGCAATTATGAACTTATGTCTTAATAACATCATGTTTTTTGCATATACAATAAAATATTATTTAATTTCGATGAGAATAAAATAAAGTGTGCATCCACTATGTTTGAAATTTCTTTATAATGCTTATGTCCGTAAGAAAATTTGTAATAATTTGAAGTCATAAATACAGTAACAATTTTTTTACATATACAATAATAATTATAATTATATACGAACTAAGTGATTTTAAAGGTAAAAAAATATTATTTTTTAAATTTTAAGTTTGAGTAATTAAATTTATAAAATACATAAACATTATTAATAAATTAATTTTTTTAATAGATATTATATTATAAATACCTTAAAGTATTAAAGAAATTATAGTTGTATATAATATATATCTGAGTAATTATTATTAACATCATTATAAATTATAGTCAGATTTATAGTCAAAATATATCATAATATAAATTTGATTAAATCTACATATGATTTACACATGATATTTATGCACTACAAAATATTATATTATACTATTAATACATTTTTATTAAATTTAAATAAAATGTTATTTTAAAAACAAAGGAAATGAAAGGATGCAAATAGGGAAGGTAACAGTTGAGTTAGATTAGGTTTTTGGTCAATCCGACTCGATCTGAAAAATATGTATCTTTTGCTCGAATTCGATACGATTTGAAAATTACAAATTCTCTACTTGACCCGACTCAATTTGAAAATATATATCCTCTACCTGACTTCGACCAGACTTAAATTTTTTAGTAGAAATCTGACTCGATCCAATCTGAATTTTTATATTACAAATCCAATCTAACCCGATCTAATATAAAATAAAGACTTAATTAAAAAATAATAACTTTTAAGAAAATTATATTATTATTTCTGGATCGGATCGAATAAGAGTTTTTCACCCTTCAACAAACTCGACCCGATCCAACTTCACCACTTAAAAAATCTAACCCAATCTAATCTAGATAGGATGAAAACTCATCTATATCGAATTAAATTGCCATCCATCGGTGCAAAATAGCAACAAAACCTCATATTTTGCATCATAAATCAAATCGAGGCGGCTATATAAAGAGCATGCTTTGGTTGAAGCATAAACCAGGAGAAAGTAATGTGAACCAAACCTTTCTCTTCATCTTCTTCGATTCTTCCTCCTTTCTCTAAATTGTTCCATCGATTCTTCCAAGAACATAGCTCTAAATAACAATGGAAATCAAAGATTTCACTCGAGATGGAACTGTCGATCTCCATGGCCGCCCTGTTATTGCTTCCAAAACTGGAAAATGGAAAGCTTGTGCTTTCCTTGTTGGTAAGATATACATATACAGATATATATATATACACACACACACACATACAGATACTTACATATATATGAACTCTCTCGGCTGCTTCTTGTTGTTTTAACCTTTGGGTCTCATTGGTTTTCGATTTGGAATCTAAACTCGGATTCGAATAGCAGTCCGATGAGCCCGACTACACAAAAGTGCTGAACATGTTAGTATATACTCGAACTCCGGGGAAGTTCAGGTGCCGAAAGTATGAGATAATGATCGTAACGTCACGTTATCGTCGTTACTTAAAACGGGTTTCGTTTGTTTCGACCGTTTGCTCCCCTTTCCCTTTTTTGCTCGTTTTCTTGCGACGCAAGAAAGTTTCCGGATATTGAAAATGGAAATGGGGATTGGACTAATGTTGGATGATTTTGGAAAGTTTTCTTGTACTGATTCATGGATTTAAACAGGATATGAAGCATTTGAAAGGATGGCTTTCTATGGGATAGCTTCGAACTTGGTGAATTACTTGACGACCCAACTCCATGAAGACACTGTTTCATCTGTAAGAAACGTGAATAGCTGGTCGGGTTCGGTCTGGATCACGCCGATCCTCGGAGCTTACGTTGCAGATGCTTTCCTCGGTCGGTTCTGGACATTCACCGTTTCATCTCTCATCTATGTCATGGTAACTCACCTACCACTACTCTCCATTTTTCGTAGCTTTCATACGGTATACGTGGTCGATACGTATGTATTCGTATCCGACATTCACACTTGAACTCGTAAAACATCCTTTGTCGATTCAATACGAATACTTCGAGAAAAAACGAAGTGTCGAAACTCGAGTTGTCTAACGTTATCATGATTTCGATGTGTCAATAGGGAATGATAATGCTCACAACAGCAGTTTCACTGAAATCGTTGAAGCCGACATGCAGCGATGGAGTGTGCAACAAGGCATCGACTCTGCAAATAACTTTCTTCTACATATCTCTCTACACAATAGCACTAGGAGCAGGGGGAACAAAGACTAACATATCAACCTTTGGGGCTGACCAGTTTGATGATTTCAATCCCCATGAAAAGGAGCTCAAGGTCTCCTTCTTCAACTGGTGGATGTTCAGCTCTTTCCTCGGTGCCTTGTTCGCCACTCTCGGACTGGTCTACATTCAAGAGAATTTGGGTTGGGGGCTCGGTTACGGGATCCCGACGATAGGTCTCATGGTCTCCCTTGTTTTGTTTTATCTTGGGACCCCTATTTATCGACACAAAGTGAGGAAGACAAAGAGCCCTGCAGGGGACCTGATTCGGGTCTCGGTTACGGCATTCAGAAACAGGAAACTTCAGCTCCCGGAAAGCCCTGCCCAGCTTCACGAACACGAACGACGACACTATATCGACAGCGGGAAACGGCAGGTCCATTACACTCCAATTTTCAGGTGATTTTTCTTTTCCCCCCACCAATTATCCCACTATTTTGAGATAATATACACAAAAAACATGAAGCAAATGGGAACTGTAATCATTATGGGATGGAATTTAATAAGAGATCTGGTCCATTTTAGACCATACAAATGCTACGCATGTGCATAACCAGGAAATCTCCTGTGCCGGAGGCAACGGTGGGGTCGACGACGAAAGCCAAGGTCCCCTCGGATGCGCCTTTCTGTAGCACCGAGACGAAAAAAAATCAATATCAATGGTCCCCCCCACTATGGAGTTAATCAACAAATCAAGACAAATGATTTGTGGAACATGATTGGTTGAATCATGGAGATGATTAGGATCCCATCTTATCAACTAATCATGTTTGTGTTTTACACAGATTCTTAGACAAAGCTGCAGTGAAAGATGGCGGCTCAGGTAAACCACCGTGCACGGTGACTCAAGTGGAAGGGACAAAGCTTGTCTTTGGGATGCTTTTAATATGGCTAGTCACCCTAGTTCCAAGCACCATTTGGGCTCAAATCAACACATTGTTTGTGAAACAAGGAACCACAATGGATAGGAGCCTCGGTTCGAGCTTCCGGATCCCGGCGGCTTCGTTAGGTAGCTTCGTCACGCTCTCCATGCTGATCTCCGTGCCGATGTACGACCGCTATTTCGTGCCGTTCATGCGCCGGAGGACGGGGAATCCGAGGGGTATCACGTTGCTTCAAAGGCTCGGCATCGGATTTTTCATCCAGGTCATCGCGATCGCCATCGCGTACGTCATGGAAGTCCGGAGGATGCATGTCATAAGAGTACACCGAATCACGGGACCGAATCAAATCGTCCCCATGAACATATTCTGGTTGATGCCACAGTATGTTCTTCTCGGGATAGCCGATGTGTTCAACGCGATCGGATTGCTGGAATTCTTCTACGATCAGTCGCCGGAAGACATGCAAAGCCTGGGGACGACGTTTTTCACGAGCGGGATCGGAGTCGGGAACTTCTTGAACAGCTTTTTGGTGACAATGGTTGATAAAATCACAGGCAGGGGTGAGCATAAGAGCTGGATTGGTGACAATTTGAATGACTCTCACTTGGATTATTATTATGGGTTCCTTTTGGTCATATCAACCCTTAATTTAGGGGCATTTCTTTGGGCATCAAGTAAATATGTGTACAAAAGGGAAACCAAAGAAGTGAACGAGGGTTGTATTGAAATGGACAGCAAAACCTTGGAGATATCTCCACTAGGATTACAAGTATGAAAAAAAAATCACCCCATCAAAAGAAAATACCAACTTTTAGTCCCTAAACTCGACAACTTTTCCTAACTTAGTCCCTAAACTTTTTTTATCTTCGTTACTCCCAGAACTCGACAACTTTTCTCATTTGTCCTCTTGATAATGTAACGTTCTGAGATTGTGTCACGGACCGAAAAAGTACAAGGACTGAGTTAGAAAGAATTGCCAAGTTTAGGGACTAAAGGTTACTTTATCCCTAATAGCAATAAAAGAGGTGAGTGGTAGAAAAAATATTATGATCTTGATGTAACCTCATTTGTATATGCGTGGAAATATTTTTTTTATTAATTTGGGATATGTACGTGGCAGTATTAATGTGACTAATGTTCGTTTTAGTACTTAAACATTTAATTATTTTTTAAAATTATATTTAAAATTTAGTTTAGTTTTGTTTTATTTTAGTACCCCGTTTAAAATTTAACATTAAGTTTTGAATAAATTAAAGTTTAGGTACTAAAACAGACTAAAACTGATATAGTGATAGTTTAGATACTAAACACGTTAAGTTTTTAACGACATGTACTAAAATAAAACAAAAAATTAAACGTTAAGTATAATTCTAAAAAATATAAAAATTTAAATATTAAAACAAACTAAAACTGATAATTTAATTATTCAATGCGTACATAATTTACCCAAATAATTATTTAATCGAATATTTCCTCATTAACGCAAGTCCTAAAAGGCCCCACTTCATCTTCATTCCCTAAGCTATGATTCAGTGTTCATAAAGTATACGGTGGCACGCATCTTTTACATATCGGTCTTCCCTCACAACTTCAGCAGCCACCGCACTGGGAAGAGCACTCGCCGTGGTCATATTTATTATGATTGCAGACATAACGAACGTTATTACAATGAAAATTTTAATATTACGATCATATAATAACAATCGCAGACAATACCGCTACTACTATATAGCAGGCACTGATAACGTACCGTTATTTAAATCTTAGCAAATCCATACTTTGAAATGCAAGGCCCTCTATTGTTGATAACAAAAGTTGGTAATGGTAACAAGAGCACTACCACTGTTGCTGTGCATAGGACTTTTGTCGATGAAAATAAATTTATCTCGTCAACGATTGACGGTTTACCTTTTTTGATTTAGATGAAAAGTTATAACCATTAGAGACTTGATCGCGAGAGAGGATATAAAGGGTGTCTCCCATCATGTTCATCCAATGGGTTTATGGTGTCCCAGTTAGTGTTGGACTTTGGAATATTAATCTTAAGAGTATCATATATGATCGTTAACTATTAGATTTGACTTTGTCAGATATTATGTTAAAAATTGAATTTGAGGATGTACACTTAGTCACCTCTGTTGTAGCTATTGATATCGGATCGAATCGAAAGGAATAGTCGAAAACACCCTCAATAATCATGGTTCATACCACAACACGATTATTTATTTACCGTTAATTTTATTTTAATATGTTCATTTAATGCTAACAGTTTGATTTTACAATAATTTTTACCAACATTTATAACCATTACCATAAACTAAAGACATAATTAGATCATTTTTTAATAAAAATTGACATAAGAAATTAGTCACTTAAGATGACACAAGAACCAATACAAGGAAAATGTTAAAAGTTTAATAAAAAGCTCGACATAAGATAAATACGAACAAGTATGACTGAATTGGAAAACGAACAATAAAAGAGGATTCAACTATTGAAAGACCATCGACAAATCGCAAATTATAGTCAAGCTATGTGATAAAACTATCAACGAACGCAAATAGTGTATCCAAATACAATTTGATGATCCAAAATTGTAAAAATCAACATAATAATAATAAAAGTCATATTGATCAGCCGTGACGATGCCAAATTTAACCCCGATAAAAAGATAAATAAAAACAACAATCGAACAATTGAAAATATAAATAAGAAAAACAGAAGAAAACATATCATATAAATAGAAAAAAAAAATTAAAAATTAGGGTATATTACATGTTTAGTATTTAAACTATCCGTTTTGTTTTATTTTAGTACCTAAACTTTTAATTTTTTTCAAAATCATACCTAAAGTTTAGTTTTTATTTCATTTTAGTTACAACCGTTAAAAATTTTAGTTTTTATTTCATTTTAGTACATCCGTTCAAAATTTAACGTTAAGTTTTCAAAAAATTGAAAGTTTAGGTACTAAAATGAGTTAAAACTGATAGTTTAAGTACTAAATGCGTTAAGTTTTTAACACGATGTACTAAAATGAAATGAAAATTGAACATTAGGTATGGATTTAAAAAAAATGAAAGTTTAAGTACTAAATGCGTTAAGTTTTTAACACGATGTACCAAAAGACAGACAAGTCAACCCTGACATATCCATCGTTTCTCGATTACGTGTCAACATATTATTGGTTTATCACCCGACATAAAATAAAAATAGAAAAATAAATATGAATTATCAAATTTCGAACTTTGTTGAATACTCCGACTATTAGAAGTTATAAAATGGTCTCCGACTATTTATTATGTTCCAAAATTCGTCATTTTTCGTTAAAAAATTTGACGATAATCTGAGCTGAATGTTAATATGTTATATGATATATGATAAAATTTGATCTTATAATCTTAAACTACTATCATATCTCAGACAACTTGTTAACATCCAATTCAGATGGCTGCTGATTTTCTAATAGAAAAAGAATGAATTTGGAACATAATGAATAGTCTGGTGACCATTTTGTAACTTTTAATAGTCGAGGGGCTCAACAAAACAATATCTTATACTTGGAAGAACATTTTTGTAACTTTGATAGTCGGAAGACTTAACAAAACAATATCTTATAATCGGAACCATTCATATAATTTACCCTTAGTTATATGCTGAAAAAAATATCAATTGGTCCACATTCAAAAGCAAAAAGAAGGAAATCACTTTGCCACCTTTTCTCTTTCTCTCACCAAGTGGGACTAAGGACATGATCATAACAAAGAATATTCTACAATGCTTAATTTTTCAACATGTTTATATATATATATATATATATATATATATTCAATCTTTAAAGCTAAAATTTGCACACCCTTTAAGAAGACATACCTTTCTCTTTTGCAAATTACACTCACATTCACATCTCCACATTATTAGTCAATCTTTAGCTATTTGTATGTATGCATATGCAATGGAAGCAGCAGCTTATGTACCTCAAGACTCTTCCATGGAAGGGGTTCGGGGTACACCCGGGAATATGAGGCCCGAGCCCGGCGCCGAGGACTTCAAGTTTTGCACCCCGGACCACGGAATTCGGAGGGTGAGTTGGAGAGCCGAGATCGATACTTCACCGCCTTTCGAGTCGGTTAAGGAGGCAGTGACCCGGTTTGGCGGCAGCGGACCTTGGGTGCCACTGCACAAGTTTGCAGAGTCATATGTAAGTTCTTCTCTGTTTTTGGTTTGCCTATGGTATGTAGGATGTAAGAAAGGTATGTTTTATTCTGTCATGCAGTCTGTTTGCATATATATATATATATATGAATGTGTGTGTAATGTGTATGTACATGTACATGTACATGTATAGTATGATAAGTATATATATATATGAATGTGTCTGCATCAGCATGCTATGTTGTGTTTATGAGCAGCATGGAAATGAAGAATTTGACATAAAGAAAGTTGAACAGGCAGCAGAATTGGAGAAAAATCTGATAGTGAAAGAATTGGAAACACTTGATGTGCTTGAAGAATTGGGAACTACCAAAAGAGTAGTGGAAGATTTAAAGAGACAGCTCAAAGATGAAGCTTTGAAAAGCATGATCAATAATGAGCATACCAGAACCGGGAGTTCGAGACCTCACCGCCGCCGCCGTCCGGTTTTGTCGTCGGATTCGATCTTGATGGAGTCGAAGCAAGCGAAATCGAACATCGGTGAAACTGTCGATGATCTTGGAGTGATACCAATAGCAGATCCATTAGTTGACAAAGCTTGTGAAATGAGGTGGTTTGCAGCTAAGAAAATGGAGGAAGCAGCCATGGCAGCAGAGGCTCTTGCTCTTTTCGAACTCGGTGCACTGGCCGGAACAAAGGGTTTGTCTAGCAACGAGACGTCATCGGGGTTTTCCTTCCCGGTGCCAGAGCCGGAGACGGATCAGTCTCCTCGAACACCGAAAATGATTCATACAATGCATGGATTTGATGAAGCAAACAATATTTCTGAACACGCAATCCTGAGGAAGCTTGAGGAATCATCAGATGAAATCAAACACTGTAAAAAGGCATTGGAAGAGGCTCTTAAAAGCGTCGAAATCGCAAACCGGAAGCAACTCGATACCGAGAAGGCTCTCAGGAGATGGATCATTAACCCCTGGCATGTGCACAAGTCACATAACAACAAACAGGTGGTCTACAATGGTACCGAAACCAACGACTCACATCAAAATCTTCCAAGATCACCATTAAGAGACCTGATGAACAAGCAAAACCCGGAATTCGACGACGACCCGAAGCCTGTTCCGAGGCCAACAACAGTGTCGATGAATGATATGCTGAGCAATAAACAAGTTACTCCTCAAGAATGTGTGGTGAAAAGGGCAAATGATGAAGGCCAAAGTGGAAGAAAGAAAGTAGCTTTGAGCCAAATGCTTGACGAACTGAAGCAAGATGTGAGATTTCAACCAAGAACTGATCATCAAAAACAGAAACAGATCTTCACACAAAGGAGAAAATTTGGGTTCATCCACATTTCTCTCCCATCAAAGCAAAGCAAAAAGAAACCACAAGTTTTGAATTCAATGTGATATACAGTAGGTTTGATGTAATACTAAATTGCAGTTGTGGTTGCGGATGTTACAATGTTACGACGTGAGTTACTTCTTAAAAATAATTACGATTTTATGTTGCAGATGCAATTTGTAGTGTCATGATGATTGAAAAACATTAATACGATCGTTACACTGTTGCGGTCGTAATTTAATACTATAATTACTCTACATGTTTACGTTGTGTTTTGAGTTATTAAATCATGGTA